GGTATTTGGGGTTAGAAAATAAAAAATAATACTTCAAAAATTAATTCAATTAATTCAATATATGTATGTATATATATTTTCGACAAAAGGAGAAATTAAGTTAAAATAATTATGATACAAATATTTAATGCATAATATATCTAAAATTAACTTAGCCATAAGGATTGCGAAAATTACATTAAACAGACATTTGAATTATTATTTAATGAAATGTTTTTATTTATTATGCAATCCTTATATGCCAAATTCCAGATTTAAAAATTAAAATAAACTTCAATTCCAAAAATCGGATTAATAATTAAATATGAAAAATGTAATTATAAATTACGATATGTACATAATCTTAAAACGTCTAATTAAAACCCACAACGATGTTTATAGTGATTATAAAATTATAAATTTTTTGATTTTGGTTATAATTTAATCATAATCCATTCAAGAAAAATTTGTTTAACTAGACATATGCACATATATTTTTTATATACAGTTGAACTTTCATAACTTGAATCTTCATAATATAAAAAAAAACATCGAGTTATAGAGACTCCGAGTTGTGGAATAAAATTTTACTTTTATTACCAATTCCAGTTCGGGATATGCAGAACTTCGAGTTATAGAAGTGCAATTGTACTATCTTTATTAAGTTAAATTTAAGTGATCAGTAGGGTAATCTTTTTTCAAAAAATATTTTTTTTTTTTACACTTTTACTCAATGTAGAAACCCACTTCACCATTGGAAGTTTTCAAAAAAGACCCAAAAATAATAATATCGCTCGAAGTTCGGAGCGCTGGGAGTGCACGTCTCAAACTTTAAACGCGTTTTTCTCAAAACACACTTTATTAAACTGGCGGGCATGATTCCGGTTGAACTACTCAACCGATTTGCTTTATTTTTTTTAAATGTTCACAAAACGTCTGGCTATCGTCCCTACTATATTCATAATTTTTTATAATTTATTGGCAATGTTATGACAAAATTTATGTAAAAAAAACTTGGGAAAAATTAAAAAAAAACGTTAATTACTTTTTTATTTATCAACATTTTTTCATAATTCTAGAAGGAACGATAACCATTCACGTACTTTTTAAGAATAAGGGTTTTTGTGTTTCAGATGATCCAAACATGAGAAATCGTGTCCGCCAGTAAAAAACAAAACGCATCTCATTCAACCAGCCATTTCTCCGATAGATGTCCTCAAAAAATTCCGAAAAAAAAATTTATAACCTCCACGATATACCTCATGATATATGAAAAAATTTCTATTGTAGAATAAAAATATCTATGAAAAAAGTCAAAAAAAAAAAGGTCAGATTAAACTACTGACCCCTTAACTATAATTTATTTAGTTCAAAGTTATTGGTATAATGGATGGTGTGAAACAACGCTGAACAATCATAACTGAGCCAGACACATTCGCTGACATTAACCATTTACTACATTCTCGCACCGATTAATGCAAAAAATACTTATTGGTTTCTGCCGATGCTACTTATATACCATAATTGAGTTTCTAAACCTCAAGCTTACCTTATCATAGCAAACAACCGCATTAGTTAATGGTCCCAGCGCCATCTAGTGCAACTTTGGGTGCGATTTATTTCAATAGAATTTAGTTTCAACCGACCGATTTACCGATTTAATTGGATATTAATTTTTATTAACACTTTACATTTTCACAAAACACTTGCACATTTTTTAAACATGAACACTTCACTTTCTTTGGCTCTTCTTTACATGATTGCTTAAATGAGCCAATATTTCACTCATTGAACTAAAAGCACTGCCTTCGCGGCCATTTTGAATGCACTTGTGGCTTCACTTTTCKGCAGCACTTTGCATTACCTCGGCATATTTTGCATTTTGAGCAAAAGCTTTTATTTATTACACTTCACACATATCACTCACAACACTTGAAGCAAAAGAAACACTATATTAATTAAATTAGCTTACTTTATCACAATTGAAATTTAACTATTCACTCTGATCACATTTTCACAACCGTACGCTTGCACTTGAACTCGAATAATGAAGGTTCGTGGATTCACTGGAAGGGTGCTTTTGGAAATATTTGGAAATTGTACAGTGGCGTCTACACGGATGTGCTCACTTTGTCGTTAACAATTTTATTAATTTCCGTCTATACCGGAAAATAAAAAATCGGAATTTATCGAAAAATTACTCTACTTTTTTACAATATTTGAATGTAAGTTATTATAAAAAATAATTTTGGTTTTTAATAAAGATAATACGGAATCATGTCAAATTTAGGAACATATTATTAAAATTAAAAATTATCATCTAGTATATATGGAGTATGAATTTTAATATAAAAATTAAATTCGCTATATAAAATGAGCGTTGCCAATAATGCATTGAAAAAATAATTGAAATAACGTACACATTATTGTTTTTACCCTGAACAGGGTAACTAAAATAAATTTGCCACAAATTTTGTAATACCTAGAATGAAACGTCGAAAACCTTATAAACTGTATGTACAGTAAAATCCCCAATTAAGGACAATCCGTATAACCGGACACCTACAATAATGTGACAAATTTCATGAAGACAATGCTTTCACTAATATTTTCATACAGAACGCATTCCTATATCCGAACATGAGAACGTTCCCATGACCAGACACGGACACTATTTTGGTAATATTTCGTTCAACTTATCTGTGATAAACAAACCAGATTTCATAACTGTGTAAAAAAAAGTGTGTAAAACTTATATATTCCGTTTTTTTTTTAATTCTTATTAATATTATATGTGAAGTTCTGCGACACTTTCTTTAACAACAATACGCAAAATGATCACGTCAAGCAAATTGCCTTGCGTTGGCAGCATCTGGTTTGCGGTGGCTTAACGGAAACTAATGAAATAATTGTCATTCATTTACTCCTGGCTGGCATTGATTCGCATTTGTTTATTCAATAGTAATATAGTTCTGAATTGCAGCTTCTGACTCTAAGAACCAATTTTAAACACATGCTCTTGCCATTCCCCATATGTATGTGGATAGCTACTATAGCCGGACCAAAGCAGTGCGACGGTGAGTGTTCGGTTAAGAGGAATTTCATCATATATGGTTGTCAAAAAAGCCTTGAGGTATTTTTATTGAAATTTCACTTGTTCATAAAATTTTTTTTTGATGACCCACGCCCAGCTCTTGACCGATGCTACGGCTGCTACAATGCCGGTCTCTTTCAATTTTCGACGACAGGCCTTCCGGAGCGTGGCGCATCTTCGACCACCTCTAGACCAGAACGAAAACGTTGAAACCATCGTTGTGCGGTGGAAATGGAAACCGTATAGGGTCCATAAACTGCACAAATTTTATTGGCGGCTTGAGATGCATTTTTGCCTTTATCGTAGTAGTACTGTAAAATATGCCGTATTTTCTCTTTATTTTGCTCCATGTTTGCGACGCTATAACTTATGAACGACA